GAAATCAATAGCAGGAAGCAATATAAAATCAGAAGGTGTGGAATCTGTGTTGTTAGAGTTAAGGAACTGCAAAGGAGAAAAGACCTTGAGGAGATTATTTATAGACCTCCCAGCAATAGTCAGGATGTGAGGAAGCAAATAAAACAGAAGATAGAAAAGGCATGTAAGAAAAATCCTATTTCAACAATCATGGAGGACTTCAATATGCAGGTCGACTGGGAAAATCAGATTGGTAGTGGATCCCAAGAAATGGAATTTATTTGTGGAATGTCTAAGAGCTTTATTTTGGAGCAGCTTGTGGTGGAACCCACAAGGGAACAGGCAATACTGGATTTGGTGATGCGTAATGAGGCAGATCTGATTAGGAAAGGAACCCCCAGGGGGCAGTGACCATAATATCATAGAATTCACCCTACAGTTTGAGAGGGAGAAGCTAGAATCACATGTAACAGTATTACAATTGAGTAAAGGTGTCTACAAAGACATGAGGAGGAGCTGACCAGAGTTGATTGGAAGAGGAGCCTAGCAAGGAAAATGATGGAGCAGCAATGGCAGGAGTTTCGAGGGGTAATTCAGGAGGCACAGCAGAAATTCATCCCAAGGAAGAAGAAACATACTAAGGGGAGGATGGGATAACCATGGCTGATGAGGGAAGTCAGGGACAGCATAAAAGGAAAAGAAAAAGCAAACAATGTGGTGAAGATTAGTGGGAAGCCACAGGATTGGCAAGCCTTTAAAAATCAGCAGTGGACAACTGAAAAAACAAGATGGGGATGGAGATGAAATATATGGGTAAGCTAGCTAGTAATATAAAAAATATTGCAGGAGTTTGTTTTTAGTTATATACAAGGTGATAGAGAGGCAAGAGTGGAAAATGAGGTTGGAGTAGTAGAAATGGGGAACAAAGAATTGACCGAGGAACTGAATAGGTACTTTGTATTAGTTTTCACAGTGGACGACACCAACAGCATACCAGAACTTTGAGAGTCAAGGGCCAGAGGTGAGTGTAGTGGCCATCACTAAGGAGAAGGTTCTGGGGAAGCTGAAAGGTCTGAAGGTGGACAGATCACCCAGACCAGATGGACTACACCCCAGAGTTCTGATGGATATAGCTGAAGAGATTGTAGAGGCATTTCTACTGATCTTTCAGGAATCACTGGGGTCAGGGAGAGTCCCAGAGGACTGGAAAATGGCTAATGTACCACCTGTTTGAGAAGGGTGGGAGGCAGAAGACGGGAAGTTATAGGCCGGTTAGCCTGACTTCAGTCCTTGGCAAGATTTTAGAGTCCATCATTAAGGATGAGACTGCGGAGTATTTAGAAGTGCATGGTAAACTAGGGCTGAGTCAGCATGGATTCGTCAATGGGAGGTCATGTTTGACAAATCTGTTAAAATTCTTTGAACAGGTAATAAGCCAGTTAGACAAAGGAGAGACAGTGGGCATGATCTATTTGATAAAGTGCCGCACAGGAGGCTGCTAAATGAGATAAGAGCCCATGGTGTTAGGCGCAAGGTACTGGCATGAATAGAGGATTGACTGACTGGCAGAAGGCAGAAAGTGGGGACAAAAGGGTCTTTTTCAGGATGGCAGCCACTGACTAGTAGAGTTCCTCAGGGGACCACAACTGTTCATGTTATACATTAACAATCTGGACAAAGGAACTGAGGAAATTGATGTTTAGTTTGCAGATGGCACAAAGATAGATGTCAGGACAGGAAGTGTTGCAGAAGCAGAAGGCTGCAAAAGGATGGACTAGGAGAGTGAACAGAATGGCAGATGGAATACAATGTGGGAAAGCATGAAGTCATGCACTTTGGTAAGAGAAAGAGAGGCATAGACTATTTTCTAAATGGGGAAAGGCTTCAGAAATCTTAAGTATAAAGGGGCTTAGGAGTCTTAGTTCAGGATTCTCTTAAGGTTAACATGCAAGTTCAGTTAGCAGTTAGAAAGCCAAATGCAATGTTAGCATTCATTTTAAGATGGCCAGAATACAAGAGCAAGGATGTACTGCTGAGGCTGCATAAGGTTCTGGTCAGACGGCAGTTGGAATATTGTGAGCAGTTTTGATATCCTGTATCTAAGGAAGGATGCGCTGGCCTTGGAGGAGGTCCAGAGAATGTTTACAAGAATGATCCCAGAGATAAAGATAGAGGGTTTCTTATATGATGAGTGTTTGATGAATCTGTCTGTACTCAATGGAGTTTGGAAGGGTGAGGGAGGGTCTCATTGAAACTTTGACAGAATACTGAGAGGCCTAGATAGAGTGGAGAGGATATTTCCATGTAAAAGAGAGATTAGAACCCGAGGGCACAGCCTCAGAGTGAAGGGATGGCCCTTTAGAACTGAGATAGTGAGGAATTTCTTCAGCAAGATGGTGGTTCATCTATGGAATTCATTGTAGCAGAAGGCTATGGAGGTCAAGTCATTGAGTGTCTTGACAGAGATAGATATGTTCTTGATTAGTGAGGGGATCAAGAGTTATGGGGAGAAGACAAGACTATAGGGTTGAGAAACATATTAGTAATGATTGAACAGTGGAGCAGGATTGATGGGCTGAATGGCCTAATCTAATTTAGCTCCTACATCTTATTATATTATGGTCAGCCTAGATTTAGGTTCAAGTCTCTAGAATGAGGCTCAAAGCAACAACCTTCTGACTCAGAAACAACAGTTCTATCCACTGAGACAAAGCATGTCTTCTGATACCCCTTTGCACCTTAGCTAAACACATAGAAACATAGAAAATAGGAGCAGCAGTAAGCCATTTGGCCCTTTGAGCCTGTTCATTATGTCTGTGGCTGATCACGCAACTCAATAGCCTGTTCCTACTTTTCCCCCATATCCTTTCATCTCCTTAGCCCCAGGTGCTGTATCCAATTTCTTCTTGAGATCATAGAATGTTTTGGCATTGACTGCTTTCTGTGGTACTGAATTCCACAGGTTCACCACCCACTTTGTGAAGAAATATCTCTTCATCTCAGTCCTTAGACTTTGACCCCTGGTTCTGGCTCCCTGGCATTGTGGATGTCCTTCCTGCAATGACCCCTGTCCTGTCCTGTTCACCAAAGTTGCCGAGTTGTCATCATTGACATCTACTATCCTTCAATTTGAGGATGACGTCTGCTCAGGGTCACAAATTTTTCCTGCAGAGCTTTACGTGATTGAACAGGCTGATTCTCAACACAGAGCTCTTTCAGCACCTGGGGTAGAAAGTCTCACGATAGAATGGGATCCAGAGTGCAGGATTTGTGTCTTTTTCTTCCCCTTTCTCTGCTTCATCATGATGCTGCGACTTGAAACACGATGCAGACTAATGGACACATTACACTGTTTTGAACAATTGATAACAAGCTCATCCCAGTCAATCATGCCACGTCAAAGGGAAACCTTCAGGGTATCTTAGTAGAGTTTTCTTTGCCATTACTGGAACATTGGGTCATTTGAGAGTTGAGAAAGCAGGTACTGATGAAAGAGATGGTTTTGAGCCATTCACGGACACAATGTCTAGTCCATTGTAGTTGGTTTTAAATGAGTTGTGCCTGTAAGCTTGTGGACCAGTTTCAAAAAGGACAATAGCATTTGCTCACTGGTCCTTCTGTTGAATCCAGAGGATTCATTGATAGAGCTGGATGAACACAGCAGGCCAAGCAGCATCATAGGAGCAGAGAGGCCTATGATGCTGCTTGGCCTGCTGTGTTCATCCAGCCCTGCACCTTGTTGTCTCGGATTCTCCAGCATCTGCAGTTCCTACTATCTCTGATTCATTGATAGAATTGCTTTAGCACTCTTATGTGTCCCTCATACCAAGTCCAGATCTCACTATGGTACATGACTGTTGTGATGGCAACTCCTCTGTACACTCCAATTTTCATTGTCAAATTCCTGTTGTTATATTTTACAGAAAGCCATGTTAGCCACTTACTCAGGTATTGGATTTACTCGAAAATGGTGTCTTTTGAGAGAAGTAACTGCCTGCGCCAGTTGAATTGACAAACAAAGAAAGTATTACTTTTAACAGAACGGGAACAAATAAAATCCACTTAATATACTATTTACATTGAAATATTTGAAACCGTGTTCTTTCTCACCATTTTACAAAATATTCTGGCTTCACTCCCACAAAAAAAATGATTAACTTACTTAGTTGTACAGGTCTAAGTGAAGCAAGAAATAATATTTTGGATCAGTTACATTTTACCCATAGACGACAGTGATTATTTTTTTCTCTCTCTTTTGGAAAAATTCCCGGAGCAAAATAAGCTTCTCTACGAAGTACTTGGGTGGGAAAGGATTATTACGAAGAACAGATGTTTGGAATTTGTTTTGCAGTACATTTGATGGTGTAACAGCACTTACCAATAAACCCAAATATGGGGCCCATGGAACACAGCAGCAGGCAGGAAGGAGAGCAGAATATGTCAGGGATGATTTTACTTACAATCCCGTTTTACCTCAATCCCTTTTAACCCCAGTCTTGCAGATGCACGTACCTGTTGTCCATTTTTTATACAACTTTAATTATTGTTTTTTAATAGCTCTGAATAACAACTGTAGAGCTAATGGGAGAGGCCGAGACAAGGCTGCCTGTGAGGGGAGTGAAGGTGGGAGTCAGTAAGGGGAGGATTAATTCATACCTGACTGTCTTCATCGACATTGGCACCATGGGTTATTGGCAGTAACATAAGAATTTGCAATCCCATACTTCTAAGTGGGAGATATAGCTAAGTCTTGTTTGCTGTCACACAACACCAGGTTATAGTCCAACAGGCTCATTTGAAAACACAAGCTTTCGGAGCCTCAGTCCTGCTTCAGGCGTTGTAGGAGTACCGCTCTGAAAGCTTGTGTTTTCCAATAAACTTGTTGGACTATAACCTGCTGTCGCGTGATTTCTGACCTTGTTCACCCCAGTCCAACTCCGGCACCTCCACATTTTGTTTGCTGAGTTAGTGCAGTCTTTCCCATTTCATTTATTCCAATGCACTCTTTGTTTTGACTTCAGAATTAAGAGCGGCTCGATTTTGGGCTTCGTTGCCTTCATTGCAAAGACTAGAGAAAGGAATGTGATTGAGATCTTGGGCAACGAGATTTGTGCCAACAAGTGCATTCGCTGTTGTCTGTGGGAGATGTTGGTGACAGCAGCAACATCAGTGCATCTAATGTTTCCAACTCGAAGACAAGCTGGGCTATAGGTTTCACACAACTGACTTTCAGCCACTTCAAAATTCCATATCTGCCTTCAGGAGCTAACAGCAGCTGCAGATGAAGCCAAAGCTGCCTCCATGACAGAGGATAAAAACTCATTGAGGTTTAAGATATGCTTTCAACTCTCTATGTATTAACCTTGAACCCTCTCTTTGGCTTTTTATCAATCTTTCTAGTGCAATCAGTGCTTGTAATAAACCTCATGACAACAATAGTCATGAGGCTGGATAGCCTGGGTTGTTTTCTTTAGATAGAATAGGCTGAGAGGGGACGAGATTGAGGTGTGTAAGATTATGAGGGGCATGGACAGGGTTGAAAGGAAACCATTGTTTCCCTTAGTTTAGGATAAATGACAAGAGGGCATAATTTTAAGGTGTAAGGCAGGATGTTTAGAGGGGATTTAAGATAAAACATTTTCTCTCAGAGGATGGTGGAAATCTGTAGTGCTCTGCCTGGGAGCATAGGTGAGGCAGGAAGCATCACGACTTTTAAAAATTATGTGGATGAACAATTGAAATGACATAACATTCAAGGCTATGGACTAATTGCTGGAAAATGGGATTAGTGTAGATAGTTCAGCACAGAAGTATATTATTAAGCTGGAGAGAGTTCAGAAAAGATTTACCAGGATGTTGCTGGGAATGGAGGATTTGATTTATTAGGAGAGGCTGAATAGGCTGGGACTCTTTTCATTGGAGCATAGAAAATTGAGGGGTGACCTTATAGAGGTTTTTAAAATCATGAAGGGTATAGATAAGGCGAATAGCAGGTGCCTTTTCCCTAGGGTGGGGGAGTTTCAAAACTAGGGGACATATTTTTAAGGTGAGAGGGAGAAGATTTAAAAAGGACATGATGGGCAACTTTTTTACACAGGGAGTGGCTTGTGTGTGGAATGAACTTCCAGAGGAAGTGGTGGATGCAGGTATAGTTACAATGTTTAAAAGACATTTGGATAAGTACACAAATGGGAAAGGCTCAGCAGGATACAGGCCAAGCACAGGCAGGCAGGACTAGTTTATTTTGGAATTATGATCAGCATAGACTGGTTGGATCAAAGGGTCTGTTTCTGTGTTGTATAACTCTATGGCTGAAGTAGTTCTTCTATACTGTATGACTCGATGATATTTTTTAAAAATAAGAAATGTAATTGACTTTGTCTTTCTTCTCCTGTTCCCTCCTTGCTTTCCATGAACCAAATCTCAACCAAAATGCAGATAGAAATGATAGAAAGAATTGTTGCCAAATACTAACATTTGCCATTTGGAGATGTAGAAGGGTGAGCTGTACTGATGCACTCATCTCCTTCCCTATGGGGAAACAGTTCCTTGGTATTTGGTCTGGTTTGGTTTTAACTTCAATTTGAAGTGTGGGCCTGTTCCAAGACTCCAGTTTAACAGCTTGCAGAACCTGAACCTGATTTAAGCATGGGTTTGCAGACAGACACTGGGGTTAGTTCCTTATCTTCTCCAAGACATGTGATAATAAGGAAGGGTGAGGTGAAGAGAAGGTGGACAGTTTATATGGGGAGGGAGTGTGTCCTCCATTTGCCTTCCTAGAATGCTGTGGTAGAGCATAATTAAAAACAGACTATCTTCACTCAGTGAGAGTGTTCCTCATTAAAAGAAATGGGCTTGCTGGTAAGTGGGGAGATGCCACACACTCAGATTTTGAATCAGTCTGGAAATTTTCAAGATATAAACCAGAGATGATCTTTAAAGTAGAAACCCAAATTTTCCACTTACGCTGGAAACTCAATTATATTTCATTAGGAAAGGGATTCCCCCACCGAGGATAATTGGGAGTTCCAAACTAAGTGAAGTTTATTGGAAACTACAAGTTTCTTTTTTTCTAATTAAAATGTTCTATTAAAAGAATATGACATCAGGCATCACTCACCCAAACCTGACTTTGGTGAAAAGTTGAAAATCATCAAGAATGCAGGTGACTGGCGTACATTTAGGTTTTGACTATTCCTCTCATGATAGGGAGGGATTAATTTATTAAGATTAATATCGTAAGTTAATTCTTGCTGTCGGCATCAAAGCTCAAAGCCACCCCTGTCCCTTTCCTATACAAACACTTGTCCAAGTTTTGGACATGGCAAGAAAGCAACCATAGTACCAATAAAGTTAATTAAATTAATTATAGTTGTTAAGAAACAAATTATGCATTTGTGTTTTCCATCGAGGCATCCAACTCTTGTCTGTAACAAGCACTGACCTCACACACCAAAAGGAGCAAGGTGGATAATTTTCACAGCCTCATATTTATCAGTGTTCTTAAAGCACCCTCCAGTGGCAATTGAGAGAATTGTCCATCACTAATCACCTTTAAATGGGGTGCACGAGACTGAGGGAGATTATGTGGCACAACAGGTAGTGTATCTGCCTCTAAGCTCGAGGTTCAAGTTCCATCTCAGGACTTGATGGTTAAGAAAGACGTGTGGATTATGCAGACAAAGATCAACCTGAAAACCCTTCCAGTAGTAGATGGTAAAAGTGGGAGAGATTCCTAGCCAGCTATGTGATGGAAAGGTGGAATAAAAACAAAGTTGCCGGAAAAGCTCAGCAGGTCTGGCAGCATGTCGTTCTGAGGAATGGTCACTGGACCCGAAACGTTAACTCTGTTTTGTCCTTCACAGATGCTGCCAGACCTGCTGAGCTTTTCCAGCAACTTTGTTTTTGTTGCTGATTTACAGCATCCGCTGTTCTTTTGGTGATGGAAAGATGTTGTGTTTCTACCGTCGCTATCTGTAGTTCCAAACATGCACCACGTATGGTGCCACAGTAACGGAGATACTTTGGGGACTGGATGACCCCGTGCAGACAGCACAGTTTCTGATCCCTTTTGTGGTGGTTTTGGCACCTGCCTCCTTGCCATACCCATGGTGGAGGTCATGGTGCTATGGGTTAGACCTACCCTTGTGCAGAGAATTCAAGAAGATCCATTC